ACCTCGCAGGAAAGCACCCTTAATCTCTGGAACTCTGTAGCGTGTTTGTGCTGGCCATCGTTTGTCTGAGTTCCACATGTGTTTCCGAGCTCCCGTCATTGTGGTCTCTGCCAGGTGCTGGTTAGCTGGTAGCTGCCGGTTAGCTGTGGACCATGTGGTGGGGAGGTTGCAGTGTCCTTCGGGTCCCTACCCCCTTGCGTGGCCAAAGGTCCTCCAGGGTCCTGAGCTGCCCCAAAGGGATTGTCAGCTGAGAGTGTGTGGGGTCAGCGCCCCTTGGCCACTTCTTCGCTGAGTGGGACTCTTGGGGCGGCAGTCGGGCCCCTGCCCCTTGCTGGTCCGCTTCTGCGCGGCGCCTCCCACCCTTGGTGACACCCTGCAGCCCCCCGACTTGCTTTGTGTGTCTTTGCAGCTGCAGTGTCAGGGCAGGGGCTGTGTGAGCCGGGCCATGGGTGTGGGCACTGCCATCCCAAGTGACCCCTGTGCTGTCCTGTCTACCCCATTATGAGGAGGTGGCCGAGGCTTAGCTCAAGGTGCTCGTCACTCCAGAGAGGGGAGCTGAGCAGAGGGGTGGCGGGGGCCAGCCTGAGGGCTGCAGCTTTGAGGGTTGCAGCCCGCCCGCTGCTTCCCCGCGTGTCCTCGGCCACATGGCTTCCTGGCTCTGGGCCCATTTCTTCATCTCTCAAGTGGGCAGCGTAACAGCGCCCACCTCCCAGGCCCGAGGAAGGGTTAGGAGTCAGCAGGGTGAATGGCGTGTGGTCGGCTGAGTGCTCCGGACTTCCCTCGGGGTCTTTGCCGGTGGGCACTGAGAGAGACTCCCAGCCCCCCACACCCAGGCCTGTCCTGGGGAGGCCCCTTGGTCTTCCGGAGTCTCAATCTCCTCATCTGAGAAGTGGGCCTGGCGACTTCTACCTGCCAAGTGTGTGTGTGTGTGTGTGTGTGGGGCCGCAGCAGCTGGCCCAGTGCACGGTTGGCAGCACTGACCCCAGGCAAGGCGCGCATGCTTCCTCACAGTGACCCTGACGTGCTGCTGCGGTCACCACAGCTCTTCGGGCTTTGCTTCCGATCACGCCCACTGGGAGCTGGGCCCCAGCTGCTGTGGGGAACACAGGCGCCAGCTCATGGCCTGATGTCGGGGAAGGACAGGAACTGACAAGGAGGGTGGCGGAGGAGGGCAGGGGACAGCTTGGAGCAGGCTCTGGCGTCACCCTGGGGGCCAGGGAAGCTTCTGGAAGGGATTTGGGGGCCTGGGCCTCAGCAGGTGTACAGTAGGGCGCCGGTGGGGCAGGGCCCAGGGTTCAGAGGCCCGGGGAGGTGGATGCTGCTGTTCAGGCTGGAGCCGTCGCAGGCTTGGGCTCCTCAGGGCTGTGGCCTGGACAGGGGTCGGGAAGAACTGGGGGTGAGGGACGGCAGACAGGGTGCAGCTAAGCAGCGTGAAGACGACGGGCTGAGGCGCAGGAAGGTTTGGTCACGGACCCACAGTCACACAGCCGCAGGGGGGAGCAGCGCCTCGGGCCGCCCCCTTGGGAGGGGTAGCCAGGCACCCTGGTGATGAGGTGGCGCTGCCCTGTTGCGTATGGGATGGAGGTGGGAGGCAGGAGCAGCCCCGGGTGTTGTCAGGACGATTCTTCATTCAAGGGCTCTCCGGGAGCCAGGCATAACGGAGATCGATCGGGGTGTCTGCAGCGGCAATGGGGGTGTGCTGCGCTCCCTGGCAGGGCTGGCTTGGACAGGAGTAGTTGGGGAAGGAGCCGCTCGGTGGGGCCAGGGCCCGTGGTGGGGGAGCATGTGAGAGGGGAGGCACTCAGGTTCCAGGGAGAGACCTGGGCTGCCCGTTAGCCTATCCCGGGGGCCTGACCTTGGCCCCCCGGCCTCAGTTTCTCCGTCTGTACAGGGAGGTTGTTCCAAAGACAGGGCGTACAGGATGGCGTGCGAGGCCTAGGCCAGGTATGTGCTCAGCAGTGCCAGGGGCCACTGTTGTTCTGTCATTGCTACGTGGCATTTGGAGTCGGCCCTGGGTGGCCGTGGGGTGATCTGGCCTCTCTGATTTGATTTGGATGGCACTATGGTCTGCAGAGCCAGGTAGCTGAGGGACCAGTGAGGTCCTCGAGGTGATGGGCTGATGCCAGGACCCAAGGCCCAGGTCACCAGGCGCCAGTGGAGGATGCTGGAGAGGAGGGCAGGACGAGAGGGAACAGACCCCCACTTCCTGGCAAGCGGAGGGATTATGTGAGTTCAAGAAAGACACAGAGGAAAGGGACAAAGAATGGGACAGGGCCACCTTGATTCTCCCAGGTAAACGTGCAGGAAGCCCAGAGAGGGAAAGCGCTTGACTTGAGGTCACACAGCAGCTGGTGCTGGGAGCAGACCTGTAGACTTGGGGGTCTGGGTGCTGCCCCCCTCTGTGAAGGAGGAATGTGATCATTTATCAGGAGAGTTTAATAATGAATGAAGTCAAAGTGTCTTTAATGCAGGCAGCAGGCCCAAAGTAATAAGGGGGCCTGTATTAATTCGGAAGTTAATGAATATGCAGGTGTGTCTGAATGATTAATGGGGCTCCTGGAGGCCTTGGAGAGGGGGTGCAAGTGGCTGCTGATGGAAATATGAATATTGCATACATCTGGGATGCTGGGTAAACCTGGAGCAGGAGGACATAAACGAAGCAGAGAACTCTGATGGCCACAGAGAGCTGAATAGGCACCCACGCGAATATACAGTGTTGTGGCTAAGTGCCCTCACTTCCCCGCTGTGTGATCCTGAGCAAGTCACTTAACCCCTCTGAGCTCCCACTTCCTCATCTGTAGGATGAGCATGAAAATAATTCCTGGCTCCTGCTTCCTGGGGATGACAGGAGACGAGCCCTTCGCACAGGGGTAGGCTCGGTATGCGCGTCTGATGGAAATCATCACGGGTAAAGAGGGAAGGGAAGTGGTTGGAGAGGGCCGAGGGAAGGGCAACAGTACCAAGTGAATTCCCTTGAGTAGGGACAGCGCTTTACAGTTTGTAAGGGGGTTGCTCATCGCTCTGCACTTTGCTCCTTGCAGCAGCTGCATGAGGGAAAAGAGAGGGGCCTTGGGGACACCGCAGCTCAGGGAGGGCGGTCACCCCCCAGGTCGCCCACTAGCAAGAGCCGGGTCTGCACCCGTGGCCTGTGCCTTCCAAGGGGAGCAAGGTGGAGCGCAGGCGTATCCCCGCTAGGGCTCTCACAGGATTGAGGCTGAGACCGGAAGCGGGATATCCTCTTGGTGCCTTAGTTTCTCCACCAGAGAAGGTCTGTCTACCACTCAAGGTTCTACTGAAGCTTTGTGAGAAACAGGGGTGCTGACCCCACCCCGGCACCTAGCCTTTGGGGTGTCTCAGACCTGTATATGTTGTTTGTTGAGTGCTCAGAGCTGCTGAACTGTGGTGTGTGGAGCTGTCTGGGATCCAGGAGCTGCGGGTGCTGGGCTACTTTAGCTGGGGGTCCTTGGGTGTATCCCTTGTCCTGTCTCAGCCTCAGTTTGCTCATCCTTCCAATGGGCACAGCCACACACTGCTGTGTATTAAGTGTGCAGGGCCCAGGCCCTGTGGGCTGTGTTTCTGGTCCCTTCCTGGCCCTCGTCTGCTCTGTGCATGGCATCCTCCTTCCTGCTCGGAGGGTGCTGCTCATCTCTCTGGTTCCAGAACAGGATGGAGAGGCTCATGACGCCGGGTTGGGGCCTGAGCTTCCAGCGTGGGTTTGCGTGCACCTCGTCCCCATCCTCAACAAGTCCCTGGTTTGGGCATAGGCTAGAAGCGAAGCCGGTGTCCTGTGGTACGAGCTGGGCTAGGGGCTGGGGACAGGTCCGGCTCCGTCTCCCCAGGGTGCACCCCTCACCCGCTGCCGGGTCATTTGGCTGCTGGGTCTGTGCTCCTAGAATGGCTGATGAGTGAATGCATGAGTGAAGGAATGGATGGATGGATGAGTGCTTCAGTCTCCCTTCCTTTCTCTATGCAGCTCCAGCCCCGTGTGTAACTGTCCTGGGAAGATCCAGGGAGGCCCAGCCTGCTTTGGGTTCCCTCTCCTGCTCCCTAGCTTTCTGGCCTGGCCTGGAACCCACCCTTCCTGGCCCCCCAAGGTGTGCAAACTGTGTCATCGGATAAAGAGTCTTAGCGGTCTTGGCTGTGGTGCAGTCTGCTGTCACAGACCAGGAAACAGAGGCCTGGGAGGGAGGGGGCTGTGGGGCAGGGCTGGGTTGGGACCCCCCGCCTCTCCTGCCCCTCCATCCGGCCCTGTGTCCCGCCTGCCTATGTATTTATAGTCCTTACTGATCTATATTAGCGCCAAGGCCTGCTCAGGCTTTGCAGTGTGCGATCTGAGGTCGGCTTTGAACGTTCCGGGGGGCTGTGGACTCAGAGCTCACTCCCATGGGGAAGGCGAACGCGGCTTCTCACCTTATGCTTCCCAGCCCTGGGCTCACGCTGGGCCCTTTGCCTGTAGAATCTTTGCTAGACGTGGGCCAGCCCTTGGGGGGCCAGTGTCTTTGTCTGGGTCTGTTGTCATGCCTTGCTTCCCTCCAGCGCTGCAGGAGACTGTATTTAGCACGGGATTGAGGGCATGGGCAAGCCAGCCCCTTCTCGGAGCCTCAGTCTCCCCATCTGTAGAATGGATGCAATGCCCACCCATCTCCTGCCTGGCAGGCATAGAGCTCTGGCCGGCGCGGAGCCTGTAGACTGTGTACACTCCTCACGTCTCCTGTGGTCCTTGTCATGCGTAGTCCTCACACGCCGAGGGACTGGAGTGTCATCTCCACTTGACAGATGAGGGCAGCATGGCCCTAGGGGCAGTGTGACTTGTCACTGCTGTGCTGCCATCCTGCTGGGGCACAACTCGGACTCATTTAAGTCTGAATGCTCCCACTTCCCAGCCCCCTCCCCAGGGCCCGCGGGGTCCTTGGGTGAGGTGGAAGTCCTCACCCCGCCAGCGTGGTTCCTGCCCCGGTCGCCATGGGAACAACTCCACTAACTCTATGCTTCTCTTACAGAGCAGAGACGACTGGCCGCCCTGAGCGCAATTCAATTCAACAGACATTTACTGAGTGCCTACTATGCGCCAGGCCTTAGGCTAGGCACTGGGGTGGCGGGGCACAGAGAGGAAGGTGGGGTCCCGTCCTCAGGTAGCTCTGGGCTTGGGGGTAAGGGGCGTGGGGAGACAGGCGAGGGGCTACCTCGGTGCTTGGCACTGAGAGAGGAACGGAGAGAAGGGTTTAAGTGCATTACCGGAGAGCTGCTCTTTCTCGTCCGTGCCTCAGTTTCCCCACCTATAAAATGGGAGGCGGCAAGGCAGAGTGAGATGATTTCTAGGACCCTTGTGGGACCCCGTGGGCCATGCATGCACCATGGGGGTGGGGACAGCAGGGAGGCCATCACTCTGCAGAGGCGGCATCTCTGAAGGCTTCTCAGAGGAGGAGGTGTTAAGATTGAGACCCCAGGGCCTGAGACAGGTCGTGCTGTGAGCCCTGAGCCCCTCATGCTGAAGGGGTCTCTGTTCTGTGTAAGCTGACCCATCCTGCCCACCCCAAACCCCTGTGTACCTGCCAAAATTGGGTTTGAGTAGAAAAGGTAGAAAGATCCCTAAATGTTAGCCGGGCCAGCTTTCTCTAGGACCTGAGCTCCTTCCCACCTTACAGATGAACAGACTGAGGCCCCGAGAGACACTACTGGGCCAGGGTTAAACTTGAGTGAGAGACAGCGTAGGGTGGGAGCCTATCTCCTCTTCTTCTGACCAAAGCTGGAGGGTTCAAGTCCTTGAGACCTGTGCAGAAGCTGACACCCAAGGCCCTCCCCAGGGAGTGGGACGGGCTGGCATTGGTGTCACAGACCTGGGTTCAAAGCCTGGCTTTGTCTTGGATGAGTTGTGTGGTGGTGTGCAAGTCACGAAGTACTCTGAGCCTCGGTTTCTTTATCTGTACCAGGGAGGACAGACCTCTCCATTCTCTCATTAACACACATCTATTGAGCATCTGCTGGGGGCCTGGTGCCCGGCCCTTCCCTGGGGGAAGCAGCAGTTACGGATCCTGGGGTGAGGAGGGAGACCAGGGGCTGTGGGAACCCAGCCAGATGAGGGCAGGACGGGAGGCAGGTGCCAGCTCCTGCAGGACCTCGTGGGCAGGCTCTGGATGCGTTGGAATTTTCCCGGATCCGCTGGGAGCGCCATGCTCAGACTTAGGGTGCAGAAAGCTTATCCAGGCTGGGGGCCAAGTGCAGTTGGGCTGTGGGATCAGAGACAGCTCGGTGAGGTGCTAGAAAGGGGGCAGAACCAGGGCACGCACAGTGGCACGGTGGGAACAGAGGCCTTCAGGCATGGGATGCTGGGTGGACGGGTCAGTGGGCTGGAGAGAAGCCAGGCAGGGGCGGGTAGGCAGCAGGCTGGATGTCCAGGCCTAGATGTGGTGGGTGGGTGGAGTTCTAGGTGTCAGGGAGGAGCCAGGGACCGTGGGGACATGGCTATTTGAGTATGGTCAGTTTGGGGCTGACATAGAGGCCTCGGGAGGAAGCAAGTTCGAGAAGGCCAGAGAGCTGGGCCTAGGACCTGGGGGAGGGCCACCGCGTAGAGACAGGGAGTGGGGGGAGCCAGGTGCAGGTCCTCGGCCCAGGGTGACAGCATTTCTAGGAGGAAGGCGGCTGGGCTTAGGTCTGCCAGAGAATCTGAATTCCAGGAGTTGTTTGAGTGGGGGCTGAGGGCCCAGCCCCTGGCTTCTCCCAGAAGTCAGCACCTCAGTCTGTCCGCAGAAAGAGGAGGCTCTCCAGGAGGAAGGTGTTTGTGAAGGAGGGGAAAACATTTGCATGCATAACAAGGCTAAAGTGAGGGAGAAAAAAAGGGAGAGAGAGAGAGAGATGAAAAGAAATTACCATACATCAGGATCTTGTTATTCAACCTAATTTTCAAAGGACCACAGCTGTTGCACTGAGATAATCCGTTAATTATAACAGCCATTGTGCTTTGGCAATGGGAGAGAAACCGAGGCCGGGAACAGGCTGAAGGAGGGGGCGGGAGCAGTCTTTTGAGGGCCTGGACATCAGAGATGGGGCAGAGCCAGAGGGGGTGCTCTTGGGGCCAGGCCTCAGCCTTCCTCACTGCTATGGTTAAAACCGTGGGCAGTGAGGCCCTACATGTGCCAGGCATGTGTCCCGCTCCTGGATCGGGGTCATGAGGATATCTGCAGCAGCTGACTTTATTGAGCAGTTACTATGTGCCAGACCCTGCTCTGTGGCTGTTCCCTCTAGCTAGTGCTCTTCTTGCCCATTTTACAGGAGAGGAAACTGACACTCAGGGGAAAGAAGCAGCTTGCCAGGGCATATTTAAATGGGCGGCCTGGATTAGAAGGGATGTGGCCCCTGCCCTTCCAGGAGCTCATAATGGAGGACCAGTTTCATTGGATTGGTCACCAGGAGTTGGTGCACACGGGAGCTGCCGTGGCTCAGGGTCCCTGGTTCTGCCCAGCTTGCCATCACCAGGGTCACTGGTGGCCCTCCCCAGGTGTTTCCGGGCCCAAGGCAGCCTCTAGGCCCTGACAGAGCTTCTTTGTTCTCAGAGCTGCAGCTGTGGCCTCCACTGGGGTGGCTCCCGCCCTTCAGAGCCTCATAGGCTCAGGGCCGAGGGGAGGGTTTCCCACTGGCCAGCAGCCTCCGTGCTGAGCCCTTGTGGCCCCGGCTGGAGGTGGTGAGGAGACAGAGGTTTCTGGGCTGTGGCCCTGGGATGGGTTTCTGGGCCTGGCCCGCAGGACTCCAGGGTACAGGGTGCTGAGGCCTGGTAGGGGAGTAGAGCGTGGGCAGCGTGAGGAGAGCCCCGAGTCGAGGGGTGGTGGTGAAGCGAGGGGCTATTCCAGAACCCTGAGAACCCTTCCTTGTGGGCTGTGCTCAGCAGCCAGGCCTCAGGCCTTTGGGGGCCGGAAGTGCAGCATAGATCACAGGCAGGACTTCCTGTTCCTGTTCGGACCCAGCAGAGACCCCAGGTGATGCAGGCAGTGTAGGGGTTCAGAGGAGCAGCAGGCCCGGCGAGTGCCAGACAGGTATGAGAGGCTCTGGGGGTGCTGTCCTGACTTGGGGTCCTCAGAGCTTGGGGGAGCTTAAAACCATGGAGCATTGTGACCGCAGAGGCTGGGACTCAGCAGCATTCAGGACCCCAGACTCATAGATGCCTCCTACATACTCTCAAGCACCAGGCTTATTATTGGGGACCCCTAAAAAGACAGACCCATGCTGTCAGTGTCCCAGACCTCAAAACTCAGAGCCATTGATCAGGCAGGATGGCAGTGGGGTGAGGGAGATTGTGGGCCCCTTGGGTCCCAGAACAGGAGGCCCATCAGGTGGCGATTCAGTTGTCCCCACTCTGCAGGCCCAGGGCCCGGACTCTGCATGCCAGAGCGCCAGGGTGGAGGATGAGGGTGCATTGACAGACCCAGGGCAGGTGCAGCTTATGGAGTTGTCAGTGGATTCTGGAAAGCAGGGGTTAAAAAATAACATCTCCCAAGTTTTCAGCATTGGCAACTAACAACAAAAAATGTAATCCTTGTCCCAAGTTGCCGGGATACCCCAGCATCTTGTGAGCCAGAGCTTGATTCTGTCTGTGGAGGGGAAGTCACTGAGTAGCAGTTGGAAGACCTCAGTTTCCTCATCTGTAAAGTGGGGATAGTGATAGCTCTGACTCTGGAGCTTGTGCTGAGGACTGAGTGGACACAGGAGCTGGGAAGCACCTAGGCCCCTGGACAACTGTCCTGCTTGCCCACACCTCCCGGAGCCTCTGAGCTCTGCGAGCTCTCAGCCCCAAGCCCCCTTCTCCCGTGGGCCCTGACCTGCTGCTCCGGTTGGGGACAGCCCTAAGGGTGTGGGAAGGCAGGGAACGGCCACATAGGACACTGGAGGAGGAGCAGCTGGTGGAGGCAGGGCTGGGGGGTGGGCCTAGCCGGCGCCTGGTACATAGTAGGTGCTCCATAAATGTTTATTGAATGAATGAATGGAGGCCATGCAGGCAGAGGCAGCCGTGCGTGCACAGGCACTGGTGAAAGCGGGTCCAGTGGAGACTGGTGAGTAGCGCCCAGGGGCTGCCACTGCGCCAGGTGGGGGAGGACAGGCCAGGTGGGGTGAGGGCAGGGGCTGGGGGTAAAGTTCAGGTGGGGAGAGGGCAGGGTCAGGGGTAAAGGTCAGGTGGGGCGATGCTGGGGGTTATCGGGGTGGAAATAGGGCAGAGGAATGGGTAAGAGGTCAAGTGGGAACAGGACAGGGGTCAAGGGGTAAAGGTCAGGTAGGGAGAGGGCAGGGGTCAGGGGTAAAAGTCAGGTGGGGAGAGGGCAGGGATCACGGGGTAAAGGTCAAGTGGGGAGAGGGCAGGGATCGAGGGGTAAAAGTCAGGTGGGGAGGGGTAGGGATCAGGGGTAAAGATCAGATGGGTAGGGGGTAGGGGTCAGGGGTAAAGGTCAGATGGGGAG